GGGGGAAAGTTATGTAGTTCACAACTTCTTTATGTGAATAAAGGGGATTACCCATGGGAATTAGGTCACTTCACTAATGGGGCTTCTTTTTAATAAATGTCACGATATGAAGGTAAATCATGATTAATTTGAGTTTGAGTGTGAGACGCAAGAGAGTTGATCTCAGTCCTATTTCAACTGCCCGCATGTAATACTACATCTAACCTACCATAGTAAACAATTACATTAATTGAATCTGCAGAGTGACCTGATCTATGAATATTAAAACCAAATCATTTTGGACTGGAAGATGGTACTTATTTTTACTGTGCTCCCCCTCCCCCCAATAGCAAATGTTCATGTGTCTGGCACAGACTGAATGCATTAATGGAGGATTTAGTACCCAGAAGTTTCCAGGGCATTTGAAGAAGATGTTAGCAGCATTAATTATGCTATCTTGATGTTTCTATAATGCAAGCTATGTGCTAAATACAAAATGCTGCAGAGTCCCAGAGATACATAGAAGTTAAGTTTCCCATAAACAGATATAATGGGAAAGCAGTTGCTATAGGAGCAGTAGATTCTGAAACACTAAGAAAAAAGGCAAATTTAGGTCTTGATCCTGCAAGCTTGTCTATGTGTGTCTAATATAATCTGCAAGTCTAAAAATAAAGAGATTGTACATGAACACGTGCCTTAAATGTGCTATTAGAGGGACACTGATGTCCTCTAAGTCCTGTCTGTAATATGACTTCAGACGTCAGTGTAGTGCAGAGCATTTATAAAGCTCTAGGGTTTCTTAACTATTGGATTACCCTTTATTTAGGTTATTTCTTGAGAACCACTGAATTCATTGAGAAACTGGATCCTAAATACTGAAAATTGTAAAATTGAAGAGATCAGACTGTTTATGCTCTGAATTATAAAAATAGATAGTGAAGAGTGACATTTTACATATTCTTTAAGTTTAATAGCCCTAGGAGCAGTTAGTAAGTGAAAAACAGAACATGATTTTTATCTGCTGAGTGTCCTTTTAATTTCACAGTGTGCAAATAGCTTTTGATGTGAAGATTTGGTGCCGAAGGAAGTAAGATAATGGAAGAACCTTTAAATTGCATTATATCACTCATGCTACTCTGCTAACGTCAGCCATGAGCAAGGAGAGGATAGTAAGCAGAAGATAACAACAAAAAAGAGAGTCTGTGGTGATTACCACTTAATTCAATTATTGGTTAATTAAATCAAAGCACGAGGAGGAAAAATCATTTGGATTAAAAATGAATATAACTTCCATCCTTTATTTGATTTGTTGTAGGAAGGAATAAGTGGGGTAATTTAATCACTGACATAGGAAAGTCTCAATAATTCTTTCAGAAATAAGGAAACCTCAGATGTGAATGAGATAGCAGAATGAGATAGCCCAGGGCACACCCGCTAACGTGAAAGATGACTGCATGTAGGAGTTGTGCTATTTAGAGATTGTTATTGACGTTTAAACTACTATAGTGTGCTGTGTGAGCTGCGATATAAACCCTCTGGTCATGTGGATAGTCAGATCAACTATTTATTTCAGAATAAGTGATGGGAAAAGCCTCAGCAGAAAGAAAAGGGTAGGCTTTGTTTCTCATGATCTGCTTTACTCCTATTTATTTCTGGGCTATCACAAATTGTCAGCAAAATTTTCACGGATCCCATCACTGAAGTGCCTGTTGGTATCTGTGAGACTGGGAGTTTCTATTTGTAAGTGGTTAACATACAAATATAGTGATATTTACCTGAAGCTAATGAAGTGTCTTTGCCATGAGAAATAGTATAATAATCCCACAACATTTCATTCCCATGCTCTTGACAAATTTAAAAATTACAACACAACTTCTTCTTAAGAGGAAAAGAGATTCTGTTTGCATCTGTGGCTTTTGTTTGTTAGTTTTTCTTCTCCACTTCTCATCATGTCTGGAAACTTAGTATTGTGGTAAAAATACTGTGCTCATAATTGGGATTTAATTTTCGCTTCCACTACAGTCTTGCTTTTCCATCTTTGATTAACATATTAAACCTTCTGTGGGATAATTCCGCTTTTGAAGCTGATACTACACTTCCCTTTCATCTGCTCTTTCTCTTGCCTATTGTGACTGTATGCCCTTTGGGGAAAACTATTTTCTTAGTTCTTTTCCAGGGCCTACTGCAACAGCACTTTGAACTCAAATGCGTCCTCCAAGGCCATGCTAATCAAGAACCTCAATTCTTCAATCTGTTTCCTACAATGTGCAGGAACTAAACCAACACGATAATATTTATAAGGATGTAGGTGTAATTACTGAGGGTGTTGTGCATTAACTACCTCTATGAAAATATGTTACTATTACAAATTTCAACTAACACTACAACTTGGTTTTGAATATTTCCCAGGACTTTTAACCAATGTATAGTTGGGTTGCTATCATTTGTTTCTTGCTGAGGAGAGCATTAATCAAAAGGGGTTTTTTTTTGTTTGTTTGTTTGTTTGTTTGTTTTTCTGGATAAAAGAGGCTGAATAAAACTGTGACTCTTATTAGCAACAATCCAGACTCCCAGCTACAGTGAATTGACACACCTTAGCTGGTGGAACTATACTGGTCTAGATGCCACATCACAGAACACAGGCTGTTTTTCTTACTTTTATAGCCCACCTGGCTCAGAGTCCAGGTGGCTAGATCAGCAGTTCCATGCTTACCTCCTTTCTGCACCCAGGCTTCCCCTGTGCCCTCCAGTAAACCACTACTCCATACCACAGTTCTTCATCTGTAAAATAATGGTAATGTTACTTCTATGTCTTGTAGAAGTTTGGTGTGAATAAATATGTTGAAAATGGTGACCCTCCCAGATATGGTAGGAGTGAGGACTGTGTAATTACCCATGAAATAAAGAAATGAATACATATCAAAATAGAAAATCTTCATTCAGGTAGCTTCCTTTGGCTGTTAAACTGTTAAGCTTCTCAGCAAATCCTGAAAGTTCAGATTTATGCCAAAATTAAGAGCAATTTCAAGTGTTTTGTTGTTTTTGTTTGGGTACTTTTACATGATGGGCAAACATTAAAGTTGAAAATCTTTCTGGGGGGGATGACTGTGAGTGCTTAAATAATAACTGCTATTTCCACCTTTTTATGGCAAATAAGGAAATTTTTCTGTTAAAGTGTAAGTGTCAAGAACATGAATTGTTTTGTGGGGGAACACACAAATCTTGGCTTTGACAACATCCCAAGTAGCTTTGCCCCAGACCTCTGTGCAGCCCCAGATATCCTGTGGTAGATTTAAGAGTGACTGTGCCATACCTAGCAAAACTGTTTGTTTCTTTGGTGCTGTGTATGTGTCAAGAACTCAGTTTGCCTATTAATCGGCTCCTTTCTTCCTTTCTTTCCTTTTATTTGTATATCTTTTAGAACCCCTTCCTGTGAGCAATGTTTCTATCTATGATTACAAACCATCTCCAGAAACAGGAGTGTTGTTTGAAATCCAGTACCCAGAGAAGTACAATGTTTTTACCAGGGTAAATATAAGCTATTGGGAAGGAAAAGACTACCGAACAATGCTGTACAAAGGTAGGACGAAACTGTTGCACTAAAACTTAATGCTAACTCTGGTGGAAGTATTTTAAACAGTGGTCTTAGGTGTGGTTTTGGCATGTATTGGTTATAATGATTTACCTTTCTGGTAATGGGTCTGTTTTATATAATAACTGTTATATCATGAAGTAAGGTATGGGTCTTCAAATTGAGCTGGTGGTTCACTTTGGTTTTAAACTTGCTTTTCTCGTTGTAGTTTTAGTGATGCTTCCTTTCTTTGGCATTTTAGAGGAAGATTGGGTGATCTGGATTTTTTTAGTCAGTTCTGAAATCAGCCTGGGAAGGGATCCCCAATTTCTAGTGCTTCCAAATAACCATGTACACTAATTTTTTTTTTAAAAAAAAAAAAAAGAAAAACAACAAACTTTTTACTTTTTTTTTTTTTTTTTAAATCTTCCCTGCTGCTGTACAATCCAAAACAAAAGAAAAGGAAGAAGGAAAGAAACCCAAAACTCAGTAGGAAGAACAGAGATATAGTCTTTGCTTTCTAGATACGTTTGTTGGAATCCCTGGATGACAGTCTGTGTCAGCTGAAAGTGTTAAAAGAGTCCCCAGTTTCTTCCCTCTGGTCAAGGTTTCCTCTTTGGGGAACAGGCGATAGGAGAGCTCTGGGATGCCTCAGATCTGGGAAACCCATTCAATATGCCTGATTCCTGGTGCAGGATTTAAACCTGGTAGTTTTGTATCACTGTACACTGGCACAGGGCTAATAGTACTATGCTGTATAGTACTGTATATTACTGTAGCATTCAGTATTGTCCCTGAGCTAATAAATCCTGCTGCATATTATGTGTTTCAATTTTCTTAATATAATCAAGGGCAATCAATCTAACAATCTAGACAGTCAGTCTAAACAGTTTAAACAACCAGTCTAACCATCTAAACAATCTAACAAGAGCAAATTCTGTTTTCTTTTTTATTTGTCTGTAACTGAACTCCTTTTTGCCCTGCAGTATAGCTTAAGCATAGTCTCTATCTCAGAGATGTAAATAGGAGTGTCCTATGGAAAGCATCCTAGGAGATGAGAAAGGCAACTGCATACTCTGTGGGCCCTGAAACCCCAATGGTTTAACATTGCATAGTGGCAATAAAATGCCTTTGAGCAATCCAGTAGGTGCTGTATTGAATTTTAGGCACTGAACTAAGGCTTCTAAAGTAGAAGTCTGGTCACTGTAATCTCTCTCTAAAGTCAGCAGAGGGAGATACGCACCTCCAGAAGGTCAGAAAATTTTGGAGTCTCTTTACTTCAATACAGACTGAGGCTAGAAATCACATTTTCAATGCTGTGAAGTGCCAGAAGTTAGGAAGGGTGATTCTGGATCATAGCACAAAATATAGGTGACCTTTTTCCAGAGAACAAAAGGGATACCAGCAGTAATTTTTGTCTTCTACAGCTAATATATAGTTTCAGGGGCTGTAATGCTGCAGCTGCTGATAAATAAAAAAGTCAACCTGAATTAAGAGATTCACTAATCAACTTGCACACTCCTTCCCACAGCCAAATAGCCCTGAGCAACTTCTCTTCAGCCTACATGTGTCCTGATGGTCGAGTGAGCTCAACTCTCAGTACCACAGCTTGCACTCAGTTGCATGCTGAATAGCCCTTTGAGCATCTACCCTGAATGGTACGCCTCAGTCAGCAAAAGACCAAGGAGGCTTTTGCGTGCAGCAGTTAAAGGTCTGCAGAAACTGTCAGATGCTCTTTGAGATATTCAGTGTCACATGGAACAGGTTGCCAGATTCAGTTCCCTTTCCTTTGGAGAGTAGTTCACGTTTCTTGTGCTGGGCTGGTTTTCTTTGTCATTGGTTTGTTTGTTTTTTTTTTTGTTTGTTTTTGTTTTTTTTGTTTTTTGCTGGGTTTGTGTGTGTGTGTGTGGTGGAGTTTTTTTGTTTGTTTGTTTGGGTTTTTTTGTAGCAAAGTGGCTTTGACAGCCAGGAAAAATGTTGGCAAACTGAATTATTAGAATTTTACATCTCAGACCAGGCTGAGCAGTGTTTAAACATCTGGAACACTGCCAATTCAGCATATGTAGTTGCGTTATCAGAAAGTGAACATTTGATGTATTTCACCTTTTTTTCCTTTCTTTTCTTTTTAAAACTTCTGCAGATTTCTTTAAAGGTAAAACAGTTTTCAATCACTGGCTACCAGGTATATGCTACAGTAACATCACATTTCAGTTGGTATCAGAAGCAACCTTCAACAAAAGCACGCTGGTGGAATACAGCGGGGTCCAGCATGAGCCCAAACAGCACAGAACAGGTGAAGAAAATTATTACATATCATTTGCTCCAAGTCTGTATGGCTGCTTTCCTTTCTGCTGTGGGGAGGGGATCGATCCCACAGAGAAGAGGGGCTGGGTGGGAGCAGTCCTGGGAGCTGCTCCTGGTCAGGAGCATGGGAGGAGGATGCTGTGGCTAGTACATAGGATTGTGTGTACAATACAGTGCAAAAGGAAATTTGCATGAGTGTTTCTGTTGTAAAGCTTGCTTCTTAGAAAATAAATTCTGCTTCACATGAGATATCCTAGGTCTTGTGCTAGAAATTAATTTTTAAGCCACAGGAATAGCCTTACTGAGCCTACTATTGATGTATCTATATTGGTCTGTCTCCTTGCCCAGTGAATCATAGCTAAACTGTTGGAGAAAGCCTTCCTCATTGTGCAGTCTTCTATCACGGAGAAGAATGTCATAGTCGCCCCACTTGGCAGCCAGTTTATGCCCTGAAGCATGAACTTTTAATTTCCAAGACAGCAATGTTGCAAAAGCTGAAAATTGCATTTGTTCAGGGTCCAGAACTAATTTAATTTGGTCCTGGGACGATGCCCAAAACTTTTCTGTTAATCTTTTGGACCACAGACATTTCCCAGGGTCCAAAGTGAAATGAACCGGTGGTAAAATCAAAAGGCCAAATCTTCAGATGAATACACTGATCTTGGTCCATTGCCTTGGACAGAGCAAAGACAACTGATGCCAGCTGATCCTCTGTCCTGAGGATCTTAAATATAGCTATCGAGATATTGAACCATAACAATGCAACCAACAGGATCACATTTTTCTTTCCTGCTGCCTTCCCATCCCTCATTCTTTGCATGTTGCAGCAAGGTTGTAGTGCCTAGTTTTGTATTAGTGGCAGTGGCTGGGACAGGGGTGGTGAGTGAACTAGTGGGTTGTAAGGTGCCGGCTTGAAAGGTTGCAGTCAAAATTATTTGCAGAGACTACCTGCACTTATGTGTAAGGGCAGACAGACAATTACCATGAGGCAGACAAAATGCTGTATGTTCACCTCCTGGCATAATTTGAAGTAACTTCTCTGTATGCCAGAATTTTGTCTTCTGGAGACTCAAGTCTTAAGATCAAGCTTTCACAAATGTTAAAATTTAAACTGATGTTTAATGCTTGTGAAAAGGTGGCTGCTAAAAGCATATGAAAAACCCTACAGCAACATGAAGGTCATACTTTTTAAATATGAGCTATGCTATGTATCAGTTTTGCCTGTATTTTTCACTTCATTTCTACAGAAGTATTTTTCTCCATGATCAAGATCTTTCTGGAAGACACAATAAAATAAATGAAGATCCACTCTTAAAAATTCACATTTGAGTAGCCCTGTTGCTGTAATAGCACTGAAGGTCTGATTTACTGTGACTTTACATCCACTTTTCTTCTTGGTATTCTTGAGTTGTGATTCTTCTGTGAATTTACACTCATCTTGATCCCACTGGAGTCACTTCTGCTATGAGTATATGTACAAGAAGGGATAATCTTAACAAGAACACTTTATTTCAAAATATTCCTAGATGCATTGTTTTTCTGCAAATATTTCTCTGGGGAATTAACACATCGTAAAGGCACATAGAGCATAACCTCTTAAAAGACTAACCCTTGCTTCTCTTTTAGTTCCTTACCCACCTCGAAACATTTCTGTTCAGATTGTACCAATCAACAGAAACAACTGGGAAGAGCACAGTGGGAATTTTGCAGAAGAATCATTCATGGGGCCACAAGAAATCATAAGGAAAGAAAAACTTAGCCGTTATTCTGACAGCCCACCTGAAATTCCAGCAGCAAACACATCCGCAGCCTGGCCCAGCTACCGCTATAACAACACTGAGTACGAAACCACGTCGCAGCCATACTGGTGGTCTAACGAAGCTGAGTCGTCAGAGGGTGAAGAGGAGTTTGTCAATGCAGTTTCCAGTGATTACGAGGCCAATGTAGTCAACACGTCTGGAAAACTCATGCCAGAACCCCCTTCCTTCCTTCCTGTACAAATGGTGCTGACCTGGTTACCGCCAAAGCCCCCTACTGCGTTTGATGGTTTCCATATCAATATTGAAAGAGAAGGTAAAACAAAGGCTTATACCCTTTTGATACCCCTTTTCTCTAATTCCATTGGTGGGTTGTCTCCTCTACAAATTATTAGTTAGCTAGTACTCTGCTTCAGTGGGCTTTGTTAGATTGCCCATATTTCTCAAGAACTTTCTTGCGTTGAATAATGTGTACTTCTGACTGGGCATCATAAAAATAAAGGAGGAGGGGTAAAATACAGTTTGCAATTCTCTTTTGTTAAACAAGATTTATACTGTTGTACATATTGCTGCACTGTTTACACTGCAGTTATCGTAAATCCATTCTGGTATGGGAGGAAGGAGAAACGAGCTGATAGAGATTTTGGACAAAGAAGGTACATTACACCATATAGCTTTCTCTGCCACTGAGAAAGGTTCTCAGGGGGAGCTCAACTGGAAGGCACTGCATTCAGATTAACCGTTGTCTCAGGGGTCATCTATGAATGTACTCCTTAGGTCATAAGGAGGCTGAGGTGGAGAATGGGGAGACTTTTCAAGTGATGGAGGTGTGATAAAATAGCCATGTTGCTTAAAGAGTTTCTCTTTTAAAATCTATTTTCTCCAAATGAATTTTATTTCCTGACAAGCAGTTTTCATAAGCCACACTGAGAGCAAATACTTTTTTTGCAGAATAAGAAGGCAATAGATAGAAAATTGGAAGCTCCTTTTCTTCCATGCCATGCTGTTTTTCACTTGCACAGTCATGGTAACCCTATTTTATCATCTCTATTGCTGAATGAAAATTTGGCCTGGGTTTATTGTTCCTCTACACCTACACTGGAACCTTAGTCATTAACTACTCTTGTGCTGATGGCAAGAAATAAAACTACCCACATAAATCCAGTCCTTTTGGATACCTTTTAATGCCACAGCAGAAACAGTATTAGCATTTCTGATATAGATCATTTTCTCTGTGGTTGGAGCCTTTCAAATTTCAATTAATCCACACTTCTTTTCCCCCTGATTTAGAGAACTCCACGGAATTTTTGACAGTAAGTGAGGACACTCACAAATTTGTTGCTGAACTGAAAGAACCAGGAAAATATAAGTTGTCTGTAACAACATTTAGCTCCTCTGGCTCTTGTGAAGTTCGGGGAAGTCAATCAGCAAAAACACTTAGCTTTTATATCAGTAAGTATCTCAACAAATTTGTCTTTTTCTCCCAGACCAATATAACTTTAATGTACAGACCACTGTGGCAGCTATGGCATCTGCTGCAGGATCAGAAGAGTCGGGTTTTCTGTAATTCCCTGTGCCAAAGAAGGAAATATAGGTCAAATATATTATATATTATATCCTGCCTGGATGGGCTGCATTGTGCTGTCTTGGCAGAGCTAAGAACTGAAAGCAGGTGAGGTATTTGATAGAGTGGTTGCCAAGTATTCAGAAATGAAACAGGTTCCCCTCTTGCATGTTTCAAAGAGAGATTTTAATTCTGAGAATTAAATTGGTGGTTATAGAGAATTTTGAAAATATTTAACTTCCTTACTCCTGGAGGCTGTATATACCACGTTAAGGATGAAGGGCATCTCAGACTGAGAGTGTGGGAATTGCACAATTAAACACTGAAATATGAAATTACATGGTATCTGAGAGAACATGGGGCAAATTACAGTAGGTGAAATAGTTCAGCCTGGTAAATTCAGAGGAGAAAAAGTAATTTATTATTTCCCTGTAGAAACCCAGGGTTTCTTAACTGAAGATTTAGTAAAAGACAAAGTAATAATGCACTACTGCATATAAACTAATATCATGACTGACAATTAGATCAGCAAGTGAGACAGGTGTTGGTGAATTCAGATTATTATCCTTCTAATGGCTGTGGCCACCTTTCTACCTTTTTCTACAAAATGAAATAGATATAGCCTACAAAACACCCATACAATGAGAACAGGGGAATACTTGCAGCACTACACTATTTTACATGTGGGAGGATAGTGGCTCCCCCAAATCGTGAATGCTGCAACAACACAGTAGCTAAGGCTGGAAGAAATATTCATATTAAAAGGAAATGTACTCAAGTACGTTACTAACAAAAACTGTATCTTTAGTAGCTCATAACATTTACAAATACTAACTATCTAGGCTTCCATTTGTCCTAATGTTTTTCTGCATGTAATTGGATTCCACTATTGCTCCTATGTTTTTCACAACTTTATAGTTGAAAGATACAGTGCTCCTTGGAAAACAAGGAAAAAAGAGGAAACAGCACATGAGCAAAAGGGTCTCTGCTGTTGTAATTTCACTGTCTTCTGGTTTTCTTTAGGAATAGTTACTAGACAGCTTCATTATATGGAAAGCATTAAAGTCTATATAAGAATACAAGTATATCAAATATATTGTGTACCATTGCTGTTAGTACCAAATGTTAGTCCATTTTACAAGGTGTGACTTATTTCCATTAAGCAATATGCAATACAGTGTCCTCCATGAAGTCTAACTGGGGACAGAGACCTGAGAAAAATGAGAAAATGTTATTCCAAAGGCGTGCGGATTGCTAGATTAAGGATTAATTTGAATGTCATTGGGTATAAAGTAGTAAGATGTTACAGGAATGTAATTCATATTTTCATTTTATGTGTAACACATGAGAACATTTTGGTTTTTGGGTTTTCTCAGTTAGTTTTGCAAGCTTTTAGAAACAGATGAAGATTCTTGGCAGTTATTTATTGTCTCAAACGCAAGATTCTTAGTATTTTAGATAGATTGTACATGTATTTTTGGTAGTATGCCAAATCTGAGATGTACACAAGTACTCTTAAGGTGAAATTGCTTTTCCGTTCCCCTTTATGAGTCTGATCAAGTAGGCTCTGTGTGGGGACTACAACTTTGGGCCGTGACGTGAAGTAGCTCAGTTTCCTTAATGCTGATGCCAAAACAATTTCTGAAGAGTAAGAGCTATACATACATCCACTGGCTCCAGAGACTAATCTAGTGACCAAATTCCTCTTTTTACCTGAGTAGCTGTAGGTCTGCTGTCGTGAATAAATTTTTCTCACAGCTTCAGCCTTATCTTGTCCTTGTAGTGCTCAGTCTGTGAATCATCCTGTCAAATTACTGGCTTGTATTACACATGTTTGTTGACCCCAGATGGCAATATGGATTGTCTAATCTTATAGGCTGATGTTGCACCAAATTTTTGCTCTAGCATTTGTTTTATTTTCTCAATAAACATAAAGTACCATTTGAATTGCACAGAGGGAGAAATGTCAAGGAGAGAGCTGTCACAAGAGTCACTTAAAAGTGACAAGAAAATATGACCATTTTAATGAAATCTGAAATTTTTGCCAAGTCTAGCTGAAGTTAGTTTCCAAATTGTTATTTTATCTACATTTAAACCTGTGTTTTCTACCAAGTGCTTCAAAAAGTCTGATGGAGAATAAGATTCTTCACTGTGGTAATCCCTGAGAGCTTGATTTTCATGCTTCAAGGCTGTAGTACACTTGGAGGGTGTAATAGTATGTAGAGAGGCAAAAAATTTTGTGTGCTTATCCTTTAATTTTGTCAATGATCTGTTCATTATTGGATGTCACATACTGTTCGAGCAAATCTGGTATTGCTGAGTGGTTTGTGGTAAGCAACAGAGAATATGGCAATCTGAATTTTCAGTGACGTTTCTCTCGTCGTCTGCTCTGCTACAGGTAAAATAGCACCGGCCACAGGCTGTTTCTCAGGGGCTGCTATCTTTGCTGCCTGAGGGCTGTGGAGATGGACAGCTGTCAGTCTAGCCTCTTTCACTAGTAGTAAATAATCCCATGAGAGAAGGATGTTCTAACATAAGTGCCTCAAATGTGTAGAGCTGCTTGCTCACATGTGATTTTGGAACATGTCCCAGGCCCCAAAGGTGAGTGGATAGAAGACCTCACTGAAAAGCCCCAGCATGTGACTGTGACAGTGCTAAGCTCCACTACTGCCCTGACATCCTGGACAACATCACAAGAGAACGGCAGCAACAGCACCATCGTGTCTGTGGTCTCTCTGACCTGTCAGAAGCAAAAGGAAAGTCAAAGGCTTGAAAAACACTATTGCACTGAGGTAAGGGGCAAAAGCTGGAGGCTTTTCAAATACAGGAAAAAAATTGCTAATCATCCTGCTGTTTGGGACTGTCATGCCCAAGGGCTCTGTCAGGCTCAGGGCTGCAGAGCACAGCAGTAGCTGCTCCCTTCTGCAATCTAAAGGCACACGGCTGATACAGAGTGGGAGGGAGAGCACAGCATTCAGGAATGAAAGTGTACAGTAAACCATAGTAGTGATTAAACTGTATTTCTGTTGGACTGACTGGCCAATCCTTTGTTCAAGCTTGTGAGTTATGCTGAACCCTTTGAGACATTTTTGTGGCAGTAGTCAAAGCGGTGCCATATCATAATAACACTTAGGCATATGCTGTAATCCATTTGTATTAAGCAAAGTGCTCACATGCATGATTCTCATCAAACTAGCGTAAATTCTTTCTTAGATATCTTCCATATGAATACAGAACCCAACTCTAAACTTTCTGGAAGTTTAGAGGTGATCAGAAGTCAGTTTTTCTTTTCTTTTCTTCCATTAAAAAAAAAGATGTCAGCACTGGGAAGTAAATAGTAATTCATACCACCTGTGATTTGGATGGACAACAGTTCTTTAGGGCTGCCGTATGGGACATGTTTATAATAATCAAGAATCCTGAACACGCAAACATGGCAGTTTTCTGTTACTTGAAACCCTTAGTGAGTGCAATGCCACGTCAGATCCTGTGGCTATGATGGATCAGTAGCATGTGGGTTTAGTCAGAAAGAGGGTTTAGCCCACATCTCAGTTACCTTACCAAGATGGTGATAAGGCCATTTTCTGAGCAGTGCTACAACTTCTCTCTGGCTCCCTAAATGTGCGTGGTGGAGGACTCTGCAAATGACTGCAGTGCTGCCCTGCTGCACCCTCAGCTTTCCCATGGCAATGGAAGGTGACTGCTAACACCCCCAGTAAATCTTCATCTTCAACTTTGTGATTAGCCCTGCAAGTTAGTTAATAGAGTCTTCAACCTTTAAAAATGTCTTTTGAAATGAATCTTTGTCAAACTTCGAGTTTTATTCCAAGAATGTCTGTGAACTTAAACATTTGGAAGTGTCTTTTAATGACAATTTTAGAATTGTTTTTCAGAATCAGCTTAAAATCTCATTGAGTTTTTTTTCCCATTTATTAAGAAGTGCAGTCATTTAATCAGGAAGCAAAACAATACAGTAGGTGATAACAAACCACAGATCACAAGTATATACATATATAATTAAAATACTATAGGACTAATCTACAAACACAAAAACAAGGTCCTAAAGCTAATCTGTGAATAAACAAGATATCTGTAAAAGTAAATGTGTGTTTATTGCAAGTAAGTAGAAAGGTCTAAAAACAGTTATTTGTTTCTTTCAATCATTACAAATATTTATACCACCTCTAATCAAATTTCATCAGCTTATTATACCTGGAGTTATTAATGGCTGTTGGTTTGAATTCTCCTTGATAAGCTGAAAAGGGCAAAATTCAGTGCAGAGTTCTATCAATTTCTAACATTGTGCATGATTTAAAAGTGATTTAGCTTTCTAAAGCAGCTCTTAAAGACAAATTCTGTTCCTCACTAAATCTGTGCTGGCACTGATATATTCATGCGCATTGCAATAAACCACCAGTGCAAAGGTGGCTGTGATAATACAGACTTTGGAAAGGTTGTGAAGAAAATAATTAGTAGGAAATATCAGCTTGAAGTTCTAGAAGAGGTGCATGAAGTCCTTTCTTCAAAGCTGCTCTGTGCATTTACTGTTAGCTGGCTCTTCAGAAGATAAGACTTTTCATATTGTATCAGACTAGGAATCACTTGGTCAGGCATTCTGCCTGCAGCTCTGACCGAAACCTGGTGCACCACAGCAGAAATTTTAATGCTGATATTTCAAACTGAAAAGAAAAATCACAAAGTCCCTTAGTCAGGTTTTGTAGTGCTGTGCAGGGGCGGTGAAAGAGAATAATTCCCCTCTGATTTCAGCATGCAGTCATTTAACACTTGCATTCAGAGGACAAATTTCTCATAACGCTGCCTTCCGCTCACGTAGCTGCAGATGAATCAGATGGCCGATAAAAAACCTCAGACTTTTATTGGAAGCAAACGCCTAAATACTCCAGCCTGAATAATGTAGCTTGAATATGAATAATGTAGCCTGAATATTTCAATAAACTTTGACAGTGGGAGAGCTGAACTTAGGCAGCAAGGCAAGTGCATTCCCTGAGTCAGATCGTTTGTCAAGTCTGCCCTGATCGCTTTCACAGTTTTGCCATTTTGGGCTTAATGAATGGAGTTCTAGCCACTGATGCCAGCGTGTTCAGAATCATGCCTTTTGAACTACAAGAGTAGTTTACACACAGTCTCAATATTCTTTTAATTAACCAAGTAAATACTTCATATCCAATGTGTTCCCCTCCTAATAGGTGAATTCAAGCAGCAGCCTCATTGAAAATCTTGTTCCTGGTGCCCAGTATCAAGTTGTGGTTTACTTACGGAAAGGACCATTGGTTGGACCGCCTTCTGATCCTGTTACATTTTCCATTGGTAACACCTGCATCAACTGTTTGAAATGTGTTTGTTTTGTTTTTAAACATTTGTAGTACATTCATTAAATCCTAGAGCCCATGAAGGAACACAAAATTGTCATGTTTGTTATTTCAAATGTAATGAACACTTATTGAGAATTTTTTTCTTGTATCATCTAGTCCATTAACTGAGGTGGGGGAAATACTCCTTCAGTGGAAGATAGACATTTCACATGTAAATGTTAAGCTATTACCAAACCTAACTAGAGAGCAGTTATGGCCAGGATTCACACACAGTGTGGAAAGAACTGTCTTCACCCTTGGACACCTGAATATAGGATTGTCTCTAGCACTGCTCGTGGTCTGTGTCATTTAGGGTGGGAGTCACCTCACTTAGGTGTAGTCAGCCTGAGCTGCAGGGGATCTGTGGTGCATGGAGAGATGCGGGCACTTCCTAGGGGTGATTCATTCCCACTGTCTCATCAAGTGTGTGGGACTGCTGTTAAGACATTTGTTGCAAATGTGCTTTATGAAGGATGTGACGTGGCCCAGTCTGAAGGCCACAGTGCTAAGAGTCAGGAGAGCTGGCGTATCTCCTACAGTACCACACGACCATCACCAACTTCAGTTGTGTATGCCTTGATTTCTGGAGTGTAATGGAGCATCTTGATTTTCTCTGCTTTGAAATTTGAAGATAAGAAGAACCCCCTGAGACTGAGAGTGACATTTTCAAGAATGTGGTTTCATGGCCAACAGGCAGAGCTGCTGCCCCCGTGCCTTTAATTCAGGATTCCACAAGGCTCCTAAATAGAGTCACTTAGGGTAGAATTCAGAATCTTTTAGTTTCCTTATAATTTATTTTGTTAATCTTACCACTTTAAGAAAATGTATTAAAAAGAGCAAAGAGAAAGAGATTTAGTGTATAGAGTTACATTCGCAGAGAAATATTTAACCTAAGTCAGTAACTGGACAAATAGTCTGCCTTGCGGGAGAGCAGGTGTCTGAAAGTTAGAGATCTTCAGTATTTTTCATCCTCCTTCCTCTCTGAGATGTAGGGAAGAAAGTGAAACAGAAAAAAAAAAAAAAAAGGTAACCTGTTAAGAATTGAATCCTTCAATGAAAGCAAATATGTGGACTAGTAAATATAGTAAGAGCCTTTTTATTCTAGGCAACCTCCTTATATATTTTCATAGATTGGGTCAGAAAAGAGAGTGTGGTATATTTCAGTAAAGGAAAAAATAGTAAGTAAAAATATATATTATTATTAAAATCTCTATCACTGGACAATTTTTACAAATGCTTTTCATTTTCTTTCTCACCGTAGTTACTTCAGAAATCTGCAAAATTCCATTTTCACTTGAGAAAGTAAAACCGTATGTTCCTAAAGTAAAGACATTCCTTCATTTTCTCCATTTTTGTGTGTCCTCACAACAATAAAAGGTTTTTACTAAACTCAAAATGGCAATCAGTTTCTAAACAAAACATCTCCTGGGTTTCTTATTATGAAGGGGATGTTTTTATGCAGTAAAACAACAGTTGCGTGAGTTTTTATTTTCATAACAGGATATTGAATGTGATATTAAAATAGTAGAACTGCAAAATAGCTGTGAAATTTTTAGTGGTGGTTAATGATGAATGAAACTGTAATAAGGTAAAATACACTTATAAAAGTACTCAGTTCTCCCCATGTTTATCCTAAGCCTCAGTTTTACACAGTGAGTATAAACACTTTAGAGAAAGCAAAGAAAAGATGTGGTAAATGATTTATGAAGGGAAAGGCAATCGTGTTAAGATGGGCTGAAGTAATCTGGGTGCTGGTCTTGGCTTTGACCCGATGTGCAATAGCTGGGGCTCTGCAACCCTTGCAAATGTTAGCAAAGTACTTATTTAAGTAGCCTCAGTTAAGTCATGAAGAAGAATTGTTTTCCAGACAAGTAAGGGTTGCAGAAGTTGACCCTTATGTGGCATTTTTCAAATCACTTGACTTCTTTCTCAGTGTCATCATCTGTGAGGCAAGAATAGCAATACATGACAGCACCTTGAGGTTCCCCAGGGAAGGAGGGCTAAACATAAAAACTGTTCTTTCTCGTAGTCTTCATTTTCCAAAGTGCTATGGCTTTTGATGCTTTTGTTTTTGAGCAACATGAAATATCTCCTAAACATCCTGATTTTCAAAGTAGAATGGAACCCTCCATTTATGAAAAAGCAAGCCCTTTACTTTATCTCAAGCTAAGCAGCCAACACCAAGTAACCTGTAGTAATTTCTGAAAAAGTAGACATAATAACCTGGAGAACAAATGCTGAAAAAAATGGTATTTGACTGCTTGTGACAAGGAAGCTCTTGGGAACTAAAGTCAGGAACAAACCAAAAGCAGGTGGAACTTGGTTAAGGTTAAGGAAAGGTATTGTTTTAAAACAAAGTGCAACTAATAACACACACATTACTGGCCACAATTTCTGTTTTATAGTGCCCACTGGAATAAAGGATCTGACGCTTTACCCTTTGGGACCTACTGCTGTGGTTTTGAGCTGGAACAGACCTTTCCTTGGGGTATTCAGGAAATATGTTGTAGAAATGTTTTACTTCAACCCATCAACGATGACCTCTGAGTGGACAACCTACTATGAAATAGCAGCAACCGTGTCCTTAACTGCCTCTGTGGTAAAGTGACCATTACTGACTATTGCTTTCCCATGCCTGTGTGGCCCTGGCACCTTGTGACATTTCTTTGCCCAGCCTTTCCCCCATGAATATGTATATATGCCTCTAAGCCTGGCACATTTTTCCGGGCAAAGCAGAGAAAATAGCCAGGATGCTAGAGGCATTTTCTGTTCCAAAGTAAGGGAATGCCAGCTGAACCATGCTAAGTTTTAAGCAGAGCAATGAAACAGGAGATGAGCCTTCTTTTTGTTGACAAATGGGCATGTTCAGCAAGTCCAGAGGCAGCTTCAGTTTGTCAGTCAAGGCTTTAGAAATTCCATCATCTCCTCGGGGGGAGTAGTCCAAAGCCTTATCTACATAATTAATATTGATAGTATGGATTTGGAGCTTGTGGGCTAGTCTTGCAGTGTGCCATCTGGAAGGCTTAGCTGCAGAGATGCTCTTGTGGAAGCAGCCTTCATGTTTCTGAAGCTACAAAGACTTATTGCCAGGATTTCAACTAGGTGGAGGCTGGCTTCTAGAAGAACACATGTACACATACACACACACATATCCTTGCAGAAATAAAGTGAAATTTTCCTTTTATTTTCCATTGTTTCCTAGAGAAGGTGAACAGATTTTATTCAGACTTTGCTGTAGCGCAAGACAGCAAGCAATCTTTGCTGAAATTAGTTGTTCAGAAAGTTATGAGTATGCAAAAAGGACAGCAATAACTTTTGCTGCTTGTGAGAGCCACAGTGATTTACTGTAATTGATTTGCATAATACCATTTGTGGAGACATTTTGGCTACAGCAGCTTAACTGTAATTGGGTATGTGACTGTAAATCTAGCACACAAATCTACAGAGAAATTAAAAACAAAAATAACTTACCAAATGAGTAATTAATATGTTGTAATCATGACTCAGCACAATTAGATTAATACCTGAGTGATCCAAGTCATCTTAGAAGTCATGCCACCTTCTAGAGTTAATGTGATTCATTAGAAAACGAGATGATATTGTCCCTTTCTGTTGCAAATCCTGTTCAAGGAACTTAAGTTGGAATTCCTTTGTCTGAATTTCGGTCTGAAATGTGACAGTGCTATATCACAGCTAAAGTGAGTATTTCTTAAAAGAATAATTTTTAAAGAGTAAGCCTGAATTAGAAAAAGAGTGTCTTCCTGTTCTTCTGTTATGGCACTTAACATACAGGAGGTATTGATAAGCTTTTGATTGGGTTTTGTAGCAGTGGTCCAGAATCCCACTATGTCCCACAAATTTCCCTATAATCTACTGACATCTCTGAGGGGTGTATTCTGGAGCAACAGTGTCAAGACAAATGAGAAGGCAGGGGAACCAAAAATCAAGCTATCTGATAGCTTAGATCAAAAATTATTTCCTGAAGTGTTGTCTGTTGGTGAGAACCTTGGGAAGTGAATTTGCCCTTTCACTCTGTTTAGTTGCTTTGTTCATTTTTTACTCTGCATCTTATTTTAAAATTGTCAAAGCAATGTAAAAGAATAGTCCATAAATCCTATATTTGGACTCCTTTGGTACTGTCTCAGCAAAAAAGGCCACTGCAAACAGCAGAGATCTGTAAAAACAGCAATTCCTAATTTGTTGAAAAATTTAATTATTTCCAATTTGCTTTTATTTTGAATTTTAAAAATATAGTGAGGCTTTTCATTTAAACATAAAATTAAATATTTGAAGTGTTTTGTTCTGTCAGTGAAGTATTTGAATTTTAACTTAAATATTGCATATGATATTATAATATAAAATATATG